ATATATATATATATATATATATGTACTATATATATATATATATATATATATATATATAGTACAGGTAATCGATCCGTTGGTATCTAATCCAGGTGGATACTAGTAGTATTACTTATTAAAACTGATCCACATCGATGTATTTATTATAAAAGAGCATATGTATTATTCTTTACAGCAAAAAAAACTAAAAATTACCTTAACATAGAGGATAGTCTATTTCAGGCCGTTCTGTACGTGTCTATCATCTTAGGGGCTGATAATAGCCGCGTACAAAAGGGCTTGAAATAGCCTATCCTCTACGTTAAGGTAATTTTTTTTATGCAATATATATATATATATATATATATATATATGATTTTACATTCTACATTCAACACCATAACTGATAAGACACCAAAAGTGTTGAAACAAATAGCTATTTTGTAGTGATTTTCTAATATATTTATGTTATAATTTTCGAAAAAATTATATTTTCTACTCTGTATTGACCACTCTTTTAAGAATACTATTTTTGGTTATTGGAATTTATTCCGTGTACACCAATCCTATGTCTTTATATATATATATATATATATATATATATATATATATATATATATATATATATGAACCGGATAAATAGATTTAACCCTGTCTGTATCGAGAAGTAAATAAACAGACACATCCATCCAGAGACTGGAATATAAGTTCGGTTTTCGCGAAAAAAATAATTTAATAAAAAAATGGTAATATAACGAACAAAGACCAGGTGAAATGCCTTGTGCGATTCCCCAAAAGAGCGACTCAGACTTTTAGAAATAAATTTTGGGCAAGATGCAACTTGAAAAATGATTTATTTCTGTCTCCATTTTAAACAAACCTTTCACATCTGATGTCTCTTGTGTCTACCAATCACATAGATCTGATTGGTCGGGTTAGGGTTAAAGATAGCAGACGATGCTGTGATGAAGTACGATACGAGAGAGAAAACAGCGAAAGTAAGAAGCAAGAGAAGACAGAGAGAAGTGAAAGGGTAATTATAGAATGATGAGGAGAGACAAGGTTTGAGCTAGAGGAGGAGTGGCTGTCGAAAACGCCTCGTACTCTCTCGCTCTAAAATATGTCCAAAGGACCAAACATTTTTCTTTTTTTCTCAAAGAACTTCTGATATTGGTTTATGGAGGGAAAATGAGATTCTATGAATAAACGTAGGACGAAATAATGAAAGGAAAGTCATAAAAACGAGCGGATAGATCAAATTGGAAGTAAAAGTGAAAGATTAAAAAAATAGATGAAATAAACGAGAGGTAATAAATGAAAATATAAAAGCTAAAAGAAAGAAAGAAAGAAAGAAAGAAAGAAAGAAAGAAAGAAAGAAAGAAAGAAAGAAAGAAAGAAAGCATCTGAAAGAGGAAGAAAGAGAGGAGAAGTGAAAACAAAATGAACGGATATAGAAATAAAAGAATGAAAGAAAGAAGAAAATGGATAAAGGAAAACAGACGGGAAAGAAAGAAAGAAAGAAATGAAAGAAAGAAAGAAAGAAAGAAAGAAAGAAAGAAAGAAAGCATCTGAAAGAGGAAGAAAGAGAGGAGAAGTGAAAACAAAATGAACGAATATAGAAATAAAAGAATGAAAGAAAGAAGAAAATGGATAAAGGAAAACAGACGGGAAAGAAAGAAAGAAAGAAAGAAAGAAAGAAAGAAATGAAAGAAAGAAAGAAAGAAAGAAAGAAAGATCGAACATTACGGTAAAGGAAAGAGGAAAGAGTTGAACAAAAGAAGAAAAAGCGAGAGAATTTGAACGAAGAAGAAAGAAAGATTCAAAACAATACGAAGAAAGAAAAAGAAAGCAAGATCGACTATTACAATAAAGGAAAAAGAAAAGAGTTGAACAAGAGAATTAAAATCGAGAGAATTTGAACGAAGAAGAAAGTGGAAACCCTGAAATAAAGAGAGGAAACATTGAAAAATAAAATAAAATGATAAATGTGGATTTAATTTCAGTTGTCGTTCTTTTTTGATAGAGCCAGCAATTCATTTGCATTAAAGGGCGTCGTCTGCGAAGTCCAAGTATTTCATTCGATTTTCACAAACAAACACGGACACTTCTAACAACGTATCGTTTTGTTAGCGAGATTAACCTTTAGTCTGATGTCAGCTGCCGTCAGTATATTTCTGGTCGTCTGAAGCAAAGTCATTCAAAACATTCAATTTTCCTATCTTTGCATTTCCCTCAGGACACACGCGCGAGCACGCACGGACACATACAAACACACACACACATATAAGTATATATATTCAGTTATATAGATATGTATTTGTGACCCTACGTTTCACGCTTTTGCGATCATCAGACAAACTGGTTTATTTTTTTGAAATTGGATCTATTTATGCTTGTTTCACTATATTGGGCGTTGAGAGGGAGAATTTCATAGTCGAGCAAGCATAAATATATCCATTTAAAAAAAACGTTTGATGATCGCAAAAGCGTGAAACGCTGTGTCCATACAACTGAATATGTTAGCTCTATCACTGATATTGAGCGCTTTCCAATACGTACTGCACACACAAAATAAATATATATATACACACACCACAAAATGGACAAACTCCGACAATTATTTTATTGTCATACGTTATTTATATAGACACAAATATTTAAGTAAATGCTATGTTTTATATAATAAACAGTGTTAACACTTATCGGCCTGAAAAATTTTCATAGTAAATATGTATCCTCCGACAGGAATCGAACCCGTATCCTATAAGGAGCCATCATATAGCCTGAAGTCTATACCAGTTTCCCTATGGAAGAGCATCTGGCTAGCTGGGTCGATTTTACTGCTTTTAAACTACAACTTTCCATGAATTCCCTCGAATGTTCATATCTGCTCGAAGTGTATCTAAACGTATATGATAAAATATAGTTTTACCGTATACTATAGCTATGAGTAAAAGTGCTCAATATCAAAATAGAGCGTAAGTAAATATAAAAATATAAAAATGGGATCAACACTGAGCAGTCACAATCTGTTCCATGCTCGAACGCAATCTTCAGGCTATGAAACAGACTATTGCCACTTAATGTTGACTTCAGTTTCCACTTTCAAACTGAATTTAAACTGAGTGGACTGTTTTTTTAATTATCAGTAAAAAATTTAAAATTATCCATACTGAAGGATCTATCAGCATAATTTAACTTTCTTTATTTAAAAAAAAAAAAACATTCGAAAATAAATTGTAATTTTCTGAAATTATATTTGAGGAAGTTTAGCTGACTTAATTTTTAATTAATCTAATTTTTCTAAGGGAGGCATAACTATAACACTTACTTGAATATAAATTAAATTTAATTCATAAACACTTTAGCTATTCAGCAACACTAAAGTTTGTTATTTTTTAAATAATAATATATAGCTCAACTAATAACGTCAATAAATCTATATCCCAGCATAACAACATTATATTAAATAAATATATTTCCAACAAATATTAACGTTATCTTATTTTTAAATAAATACAACTGCAGAAAAAGTATGATCTGTCCCTTAAACTGTTAATGTATGGCTGATAATATTGTATACCGAGCTAGCATACATTCCATTAACGAATGTTGGCTCAACTGAAAGTCCTTAGAAAGTTGGTTTCTACCATCGGTGAAGACTTTAGGAAATATAAAATACAAAAACAGCACTGCTCTCTCTAAATAGTTCTGAAAATTAATGAATGGTGCTAATACATCTTTTATCACATGAGATATTGTAGCAAGAGCTAAATCTTACAAGAAAGGCAATTTATGTCTTGCTAAAAAATTAGTTATTATAAAACACTTAAATAACCCTACCTTATTAAACAAGAGAAATGAATTAATGGTTACCCGTAGGCATAAAAATAAATATCGCTGATCCAGATTAATTTTTAAATGCAAATTATGTTTCTTGAAAGAACAAATAATTTGCCTTTATGCTTAATGCAAAGAATAATATTCGCAACTCTAAAATAATTGTCTTTTTTACATATATATATACAAATCCCATTTACTTAAATGCCAAATATATTGTTTAGTTTAAAAATTCTGTAATCTCCGTATAATATATAACTACGCCAACATTGCTATAAACAGGTATCTGTATTATAAATCTAAATTACACAACGGTCAGTCTATACTGAGCATCTGAAGATTGCGTGTGCATGAAACTCTGAGTTATGCTATCTGCGAGGGGTGATATATATATATATATATATATATATATATATATATGTGTGTGTGTGTGTGTGTGTGTGTGTGTGTGTGTGTGTGTGTGTGTGTAGATAGCCTTATTCTCTCAGGAACAAGGTTGCTTTCTGAAAACTGACAATCCCATTCTTCCTGGTCTCTCCTGTATTTTTTGTCAAAATATAATGCTGAAAATCATCTAAGAAATTCGAACAACTGAAGACTATGTCGTCTGCTACTGGTCGGTCTGAAGTAGCAATAATAAGATAAAAGAGGAATAAATCGATTCATCATATTTAATTAATGTTGCATATGCAAAAGAGAATCGAATTGGAAAACAAAGTTCCATTTTCGCCTGAGTCTGCGATTCGATTCAGAACAGGGGAAAATAGATTTTTGCCTTTACCATTGACATTATAAAAAAACTGACACTTTTCAGTTTTTATGTCAACGTTAAAGGCAAAAGTCCATTTCTCTCCACACATAATAGAATCAATTTGAATTCCGGCAGAAGATGATTTGTTAATTTTGGAAAGGCACTTCTCCCTGAATTGACGAAAAACAGAAAGATTACGAATTGTGACTGAGGCTCTTTAAATACATTCCTTACTGATATCCATGGGAAAGGCAGGATTCAAATTCTCCCTGCCTTGATGTAAAAGGGAACCAATTTTAATTTCTGCTTATGTCCATCTTCCACCAATAGCCATGAGAAAGGCATGAACTCATTTCCCTTTGTAGTATTGAAAATGCAACTAGTTTCATTAAATCTGTTTGTGTTCCTTTCATTATCCTATGTGACAGTAAAGAATAAATTTAGAGTACACTGACATCCAATAATATTCAACGCAAAAAGCAAGGGACTGACAAATATCAATCTTCCAACCCACCCACCAAAACTGAGCACCACTGAAGAAAAATAATCCGCTGCCTGTGGTGGGCTGCGTCACTCTGTTATTCATCTTGAATTCTTATAACGTTATGAAAAACTTATACGCACAGTCATACTTTCAGCAGCTTCAACGTGTCTATAATTTTTTTTTCTTGAAAAGGACCCAGCACTTGTCAACAGGAAAAGAATTCTCCTCCTTCTTGTTAACGCAAGGCTGCATATGCCAAGAAACTTGGTTTGTTTGATCCAATTTATTCACCGACCTTTTATCAACCAATCATAACCTATTTCGGTCGCTACAAAACGCATCGATAAGGAAATCATTCTCTAATAAAAACCAAACTCAACAGAATCTTTTACATTAAAATCTGCGCTATTTTACCCAAATGTTATCAAAGAGCTTGAAGTGGCAGCAAGTCACTGCAAACAATGGTGGATATATAAATGAATAAAATGTAATTATGCCTTATTTTTAAAGAATAAACTTGATAAACAAATGAAAATTATTTATGGCTCAATATTACTTATATGACTCTATCCTCCAAACACGTACATCAGTTGGTTAATATCAATTTTATTACGTAAACATCGACTCGCCTAAGAAGACATTGTAAACGTTAGCAAGAATACATGAATATTATATTACAAATCTTTGGTATCTAAGATTCGGAAGATATTTTAAGACGTACATCTATTTTAGAAAAATATAAAATATGACGGTATTAATGTTTTAGCATCTTCCTGTCTGTCGTAGCGAAAGGTTTGTCTGAAAACAGTTTCCGATTGGCCAGTGGCTTAAATCGTCTTTTCCGTCTAATTTGCCGACGCCGTCAAGACAGCAGGAATTGTCGACGACTTGGTTGGAAAGAAGCCAATAATGTCTATCTGACCCAGGATTTACTGTCTGCAATAATTTTTACACTCGCCCATTTTTCGGTCAGTGCCCACATACACACGAACATTTTCTTTTTCACCGCGAAGTGTAACTTTATCTTTCTCCTTCCTTTCCTCTCACTCATATATACACTACAGTTCAAAATTTTGAAGCCACCCTCAGAATTAGCACGAGATGAACTCGAGAGAAAATTGAACTCTTTCCATTCTCAGAATGAAAAAAGAGCTCTTAGAGTCATTGAAAAAAGAATTTTACAACGAATGCCAAAAAATTTCTGCTGCGGTGATCAAGACTAATGAAGGAAGTTTTGAAAAGACCAAAATTTAATCATAAAATGCTTTTGTTTTCTTGTTTTCATTATAAAATTTCTAATAAATATTCATGTCTCACCTGTTTTAATTTTTCTTATTTAAAGTACAAAACAACTACTTTTGGGGAGAATTTAAAAATTACAAAGAATGAGCTCCAACTTTTGAACGGTAGTGAATATATATATATATATATATATATATATATATATATATATATATATATATATATATATATATATATATATAGGCTTATTTCTAAGTAACAAGATTACTTCCTGAACACTGAGAATCCTATTCTTCCTCGTCTTTCTTGTATTTTTTGATAAAATATAATGCTCAATAATGAAACTAAGAAATTCGAGCAATTTAAGACTATGATGTCTGCTACTAGTCGGTCTAAAACACCAATAATAAGATAAAAGAAGACTAAATCGATATTTAATTAATGTTACATATACAAAAGAGAATTGAATTGAAAAACAGTCGGCGAAGTGTCAGTTTTTTTATAATGTCAATGTTAAAGTCAAAAATCCATTTCTCCCTGC